AAAAAAACCCCACAAAAACCTATAGTTGAATTTAGAATTAAAAAGTCAATACTGTACAATAAAGGTACAGTGGTGTGCGCCTTTAAACCCAGCATTCAGGGACATGAGCCAGGAAGGATCACTATGAGTTCAAGGCCAGCTTGGTCTCCAAAGCCAAGGCTACAGAGAAACCCTGTCTCAAAACAACAAAAGGAAACCAAAACAAACAAACAAAGTCAATATATTTGCCAGTTATTAGGTTTGCAGCTTTGAGGAAGCTGCTTAGTATCTATCTCCTCATCTGTACAGAGGTATAGAGACCTCCTACCCAGGACTATGACATCTAAGAAATGTCTCAAGACAACAAGCCTATGCTCCTAACAAGAGGAATCACAGCACAAGCTAACTGCAGCCAGGACCTTGTCAATAGCAGCAGTAGATAGTCCTCTGAAACTCTTTCTCTTTTGAGACTGGGTCTCCTAGAGCCCAATCTGACTTTGAATGCCTATGTAGCTAAGGATCACTTTGAACTCCTGATCCTACAGCTTCCATTTCCCCAACGGTGTATGCCACCATGCCTCGAAGGTACATTTTTAGCCCAGGCTAACCTCAAACTTGCTCTATAGCCAAAAACAACCTTGAACCTCTGACCTTCCTGCCTCCTGCTGAGATTTCAAACTTCCACCATCTTTATACAGCACTGGGCACTATAGTGCAGCCTAGTCTGCAAGGTGAGTGCTAGGGCAGCCAGGCCTACAGAGAGAAGCCTTAGTCAAAAACCAAAACATCTTTGCATTCACGAAAGACAGGCACAATACCAACTGAGCTACATCCCCAGCACTCAGGGAGGCTAAGGCAGGCAGATCTTTGAGTTGAGGCCAGCCTGGTCTCCAAGACTCCCAAAGCTACATAATGAAACCCTGTCTCAAGAGAAAAACAACAACAAAAACAAAAGCAAGCAAGCAAGCAAACAAACAAAAAAAACTACGGTGAAAAAATCCATTACTAGCTTTAATATCAAAAATTGGGAGGTAGAGGCAAAGGAATTTCTGTGAGTTTGAGGCTAGCCACGACTACCACTATTACTGAAACGTCCAAATATCATCTCAAAATGTTTCAGAACAGATCTGCTTTTGTTGAGCAAAACACAGGAACACAAACCCAGTAGTCCTGGAACAAAGGACTTCCACACAGGCAGTGGTGGGTACCCCCACCCCCAAAAAAAGGCTCCCCAACCCAGAGGCATTTGACATGTGGCATTTAGCGGGCCAGGACTAAGGAAGCAGAAGTCCTGAGGTTCTCAGAAGGTCTTGGGGAAAGAACTGTCCAGCCGCAGGCAGCCTTATTAATAAGTGCCATCCTAACATGGAGTGAAGCAGAAGCTGATCCTGCTCAGTCAGCAAGTAAAACACATGTGGGCCAACCACTGTGCTAGGTGCCGTAAGACAACAAACACTCTCTTCAGCCTCAGAGGAAGACCAAGCAAGGAAGCCTGACTTACTGGGTAGGACCTGTTCTGGCTCCCAGAAAAACAATGGCATTCTTATATACCAGGGCCCCAGCCTCACCTTCGGGACACCAAGCCCATCCCCAGCCTCTCAGCCTGCTCTCGCTTTTTTCCTTCAAGATTCTGGAGCTTTTTCTCCTCCTTCTTGCGATCAATCTGGAGCTCCTGGTAGGCCAGACGCATGGAGGCAACCCTGGAGGGAATGAACACTCAGAGGCTGCTCCATGCCACCAACCCCCACACAAGCCAAGGGCACCACAGCAAGCACGCACATGGACTCCTCTGCCTGCTTCTTGGCATCAGCTGCCTGCTGCTCTCGGAGCTTCTCTGCCACCTGGGCCTGCCGCTCAATCTCTGTAAAGCTCTGGTTGCTCACCTTCTGAGCTCCCAGGCCTTTCTTGGCACCCAGCTGAAGAGAAAATCATGTGATGTGGGGTCTTGACAGCCAGTCTCCTCAGCTCCCTCCCCAGTATGGTCACTTTAGTCACACCAACAATGAAGGGGGTCCTCCTTCTTCAGGTCCAATGAGCAAGGCTAAGACAACAGTGGTTCTGCTAGAGCTGGTTATAAGGCACAACCCCCACACAGGTCTCAGGAATGAGGACAGCAGTGCATGCTGACAGGGCCTGCCATGTGCCCAGCACTCTAAGTACTAGATGTACTTGATCTTGCTTACTGCCCAGGAGCCCTCTTAGGACGAGTACCTTTGAATCCCTTTCACAGACAAGGCTCCAACAAGTTCAGTGCTTTTGCCAGTCATACAGCTAGCCAGTACATGGGAAGAACTGAAGGAGTCCAACTCCAGCCCGCAACCACCCTACAATACTGCTTCTCCCCACCTACCCCTTTCTTAGCTGCTGTTGACTTCTTCTTGCCAATAATGGAGCTTTTCAGTTCTGTGTGAAGAAGAGGGTGGGCATGAGCTAGGACAAAGGAAGGTCAGAGAACGTGGCTCAGTCCACACCATGCAGCTTCACAGCAAGAACATCTAAAACCAACTGCTTCACATAGGAAAGCAAAACTGCCACCACCGGTTCCAACCAAGACTGTCCAAGCCAAAGACTGACAAGGTTAGGGGAGTTTGCTTATGCCCAAAAAGTTGCAGTATGAGCCTATACCTAAGGCACCAAAGACAAAGGACCCAAAGCCAAGTAAAAACTGTTAGGTAGGGGAGCTGCTGAATAGTCTCAGCTCCTACAGCAGGGGGCTAGCAAGGAGGGGACAGGCTTCCCAAACCACTGGTTACCTCTGGTAGAAGAGGCCCCTTTAGCTGACAGATACATGGACTCTGGAGGAGAAACAGACTTGTAGCTAACAAGGGCCCACCCCAGAAGCTTCATGAAGTTCCCAAGCCCAGAGTCCTATACAGAGCCTACTTCAAAACCAAGCTATGCCAGCCTTCTTCAGATCAGCTGGATAGTGGCTCCACTGGCTTCCTGCCCCAACCCCCAAGAGTCAACAGAACAAGCCAAGGTCAGCAAAGAGGCTGTTTACCCTACCTAAGTCTGAAGGCCACTAAAGAGTGAGAAAAGGCTGAACTTTGAAAGGACAGTATTGCCTCCAGCCCCGAGCAGCTCAAAGCTATCCCCACACCTCATGAAATAAACAAAACAGGCCAGTCCCACCTGACACCCAGCCTCCCATCCTTTGGCAAGATCCACCCCCACACTCAAAATGACAGCCATCCAGGCTTGTCAGCTGAAAGACTCTGAAGTCAGTGTGGCAGGCACAACTTCAATTCCAGCCCCCACCCAAGGGGGGTCAGTTGCTCAGCCTTTGTGCTTAGTTCACATGACTAGGCAGCAGAGATCTGGAACAAATACTTGAGGCCCACTCTCTCCCAAGTTCCCCATAGTTGCCAGCTGTCATACCCAGAGAGGCTTGGGGTGAGGTTCCAAGCAGGTCGGTGTTAGGGCCATGCTCAGGTTCTGTGGATACGATGACAGGAGTTACATTAAGGGGGTGGTAGGACAAGTCACTGGCTCTCCTCAGCTTGCCACCAAAACCCAGCCCTTCCTCTACAGATTTCCACCCAAGGACACAGGGAAACCTTCTCCTAACTCCTATGCCCTTGGCCAAGTGCCCCCTTCCTAAACCCGAGTCCTTTTCTAAGCCCAGGCACTTGGTTGAAATCTGGGCTGAACTCACGTGCCAGGCTACTGCTCTCTGAAGGTAGGGCTGGCTGCTGGGTGCCTGATGGCCCAGTGGCTAGTGAATCCCAAGCAGGGACCTAAAAAGGAAGCCAGATGACGGAGGTCTCCGTGAGCCCTCCTAAAAAACTACAGTTCCCTGTGGGTAGGAGGCTGCTCCCCTCAGCTATGAGAAGATTAGAGATTAGCAATTATAGTCACCATGGAAGAAAATGCAAAAAAAAAAAAAAAAAAAAACAAACAAACCAGCATCTTCAGCTTACAGCTGAGCCCATTCCCCTAACTGATAAAGCTCTAACCATTCATACATACTGACCATGCCCCATGCACCAATCCAAGGGTACTCAGATACAATAGGTTCAGTTCATCACAACAGGCCCTAAAAAGTAACTATGTCTCCACTTTAGAAACTGAGGTTTTGCTGGGTTCAGTGACAGGGCCAAACCAAAGAAATACCAAGCAGAGATACTAAGATTTGACCTAAAATTCAGACTTCAATGGCCATTGCCAACAGCCAGCGGGAAACAAGAGAAAGAATCCTCATGGCCTCCAGCTTTTGTTCCTTTCTGGAAAAGCTAGTTGTTGTTTAGGGCTCCTGAGATCTCCCAAGCTTTCAAACTATTCCCTACCACCAGGATCCGTTTCTAAAGAGGATTCATTCCATTGCACTCCCATAAATGAGAGGAAAAGACTCCTGGGCCCATGCAGCAGGCAGTAATTACCAATTCTGAACCACAGACACTCTCTGAGATATCGTACCTAAGCAAAAGAATTCATGTCATGATCACAAAGGTTGCAGCCTTGTAAAGCATTTATCAGAGGAAAGATCCCTGTGGTTCTCACCTGAGTATGTTCTGTGAAGAAATCAGAGTCTTTCTTCTCTGGAGAGTGACTAGGAACACTGTTCATATTGTCTATCCACAGCTGGGAGAGAGGAGACACCGTGAAACGCAGGGCTGTTAACACCTCCTACCCATCACCCTAGCCCAGGAACAAGGACTCACATCAGTGCCATGCCTGGCCAGAGCTGCACTCCCTAACTGCCGGATCTTCTCTCGGTACATCTGGGCAGCTCGGCTATTATATTTGGTGTTAGCATCATTGGCCGTACATCCGTGTTGGCGGAAAAATGCAGTCTAGAGAGCAAAGAAAAGGTAGCATGTATGTACAAATACTGTCATCAAAGAAAACTGTATTCACACTATAGGGGAAACTTTACGACACAGCGGGTTATTATTTATACAGAATGGCACACTACTGACACCAACAGATTTTCATAAACGTAAAGATCTTCCAAAATTCCTTTCAAAACAACAAAACAACTTTAATTATTATTATATGTGCCAGGGCAAGTGTGTGGAGGTCAGATGACGGCTCTGTGGGGTTGATTCTCTCCTTCTACCTTTATGTGGTTTCCTGAATTGAATTCAGGTTGCCAGGCTCACTCAGTAAACACCTTCACTCGCTAGTTGATCTCACTCTTCCTGCCTCCAAAATCCATCAGAAAAACCAAACCAAACCAAAAACAACAACAAAAGAACCACCATGCCACCTCCTACCCTAGGAGACAAGGAAATGAAGTCTAGGAGACTGAAGTACGGAATTCCCACTCTGCTATCCTCCCTCCAGGAGCCCACAAGACCTCAATGACTATGGGAACTACACTGGGCTTTCCCCAAGAACATCTGTCCAGTTGTTTGCATTTAATTAAGCCTCTCTGAGAGAAGCTACGGCAGTTTTGTGAATTTAGAAAACAGTGTGTGGTCGTGTTACAGAGCTGAGAACTCTGAACAGAGAAAACAACTCCCTTCTAAGACATCATATAAAAGTTAAGTTCCCAGGCAAGAGGCTGGGGGTGGAGGAAGGTAAAAGGGGCTTTACCGCATTGGCATTCCCGCCGACCTGCATACACCTCAGCTGCAACCAGCTCCAGTTCGAATCCAACTCTGTGGACCTGTGAACAAGGGCTGTGTGTCACCCGATGACATCAAAACATGCTTCCCTGTCAAGTCCACACCAGTCACCTGGCCTCAAGCTTCTGTGGGTGTCCAGGAAACCATCAGTCACTGTCCCATTTTCTCCTCACTTCCCTGTATTTGAAATTACTGCTCTTCTCCTAATCCAAAGGGTACTAATTATTTCTAAAAAGGAGCTCCAAAAGGAAGTCCACTTCTCCGGAATGCAGAATGGATTTGGCTCTTCTCTAAGGGTGGTCAGAGACTTATTGGGGCACTCTATCAGCAAAACAAGGTCAATGCAGCTAACTTCTTCCCCAAACTGATGCTAAGTATCATGTTAACTGTGAGGAGTTTGATCCAGACCTTATGGCGAGAAGCCCACAGAGACGGATCCCCCGCAGTAGCTACCATAACTCCCGCCAGAAGGTTTTGGATTAAACACCGTATTCAGAAAGGTCCAAGTAGAGGAGTCCTCACCCTCTTGTTGACCATTCAAACCCAGTGGTAAGCACAGCACCTTCACACGGAACTTACCTGATAAAGCTAAGATGGACACCCAGGGAGCGATGCACTCCAGAGCAGTCAATACACAAAAACACACCATACGTGATGCTGGCCCAACTTGGACTCTTGGCGCCGCAATCGAAACAGGCCTGAAGTGGAAGAGGAGACAAGTGAAATGGTCAGGGCCCAGAGTCGAGGCCCGGCGCCTGAAAGCACAAGAGAGCCTCCCACCCCCGTCCCTGCCCTCCTTCAGACCCAGGGGACAAGAGACGCCTTCACCATCGGCGCCAGGACTCATGCCCTTCCCGCCCAAGCACCTTGTTGGTGGGAATTGCACGAAGTCTCTTAAAAAGAGTCTGGATTTCGGTCCTGCTCGGCTCCGCCGCCATTTTCTCTCCTTCCCAGACACAACCGCGACCGACAGGTCCCGCCGCGGGCCAATCCACGGCGGGGAGGGCGGGCTCAGCCACGGCCGTGCCCGACCCGCCTACGAGGAGGAGCGATTCGACCAGATCTGGGCCAATGAGCGTCGGGCGGGACTGAGCCGTGACGTCAGCAGCCGGGAGCTCCCCAATGGGGCAGAGAGCGAACGCCGCGGCGCCCTTGGCCAATCCGCAGCCCGAGCGGGCGATGGTTCGTGGGCTGGCCCAAACTTCCTCGCCAGTGCCTGCTGGGCGCCGGGACGTCTATACCGTGGGCTACTGGTTACTGGCTACAGGCAACAGGCAGAAGGCCATGGCCGCATCCTCTGATGAGTTACTGATGGATGAGTAATGATTAACAGTCTCCCAAGCGCTGCTAGTCCCGTCGGGAAGACATTGGCGAGGCTCCAGCTCAGCTCACGATCCAGCAACTGGCGTGGAGCAGAGGCCGGCACCCAAAAAGCCAAAATCGCTTCCAGTCCAGATTATAGTCCTGAAATTCCAGGGTGGCTACCGGGAGGCAACTGCCTGCCCAGTCCCGGTACCGAACACATGCCGCGCCCGCGGACCTTCCCCATGCCTCCCACTAGCTGCAGGAATGGGGCGTCAAAAGATGTGCGCAACACTTGATGGGATTTTTATTCTTGATCAAGTTTAATACACACTACATACAACAAGTCACAAAACAGGGTGCTGCTAGCCCCAATACATTCTCCCCAACCTCACCCCAGGAGCTCCCAAACAGCTTAGGAGCTGGATCCCCTACTCCTGGGATGACCCAGATGCTCCCGGGGAGGCTCTGGCATCTCTGAACCCTCTGTCCCTCCAACCTCCCATTCTGCCCTCACCCTAAACTGTTGGCCTCTTTCTAGACACAGACCCCTTCCCTTCATGAGCCCTAAGACTTCCTCCTTTGGGAACAGGGACAGCAGCAGCAGCACGTGATTCAGGGCCCACAGGTCCAGCAGTCCAGGAAGGGTTGCGCTCTGGCCCAGGTTAGAGAGACTCAGTGGTAGGGCTGTCTGGGCACTCAGGCGCCCACACATTCTACATAATTGGCAGGGTACAGACCAATGCGTCCACTCTGCAACTGGCCCTGGCACCAGCCCTGTTCATCCTCCTCACTCATCTTCAGCAGCTCTTCCCCTGAAGGAAGACAGACTGGTCACTGACAAAGGCACTGGCTTCACACATCCCAAAATTAAATCAAGGACTAGGGGATAGGATAGCACAGGGACCTACAACCAGGAGGAAACCCAACTCAGACCAGGATAGAACACAGCCAGCAAGCCACCCAACCCTAAACCTCAGGGAAAGAACTGCCAGGCCTCAGCTGGCTAAACCCTGAACAGCCCTTGAAAAGTGAGTCTCTGGTTTTCCTTTCCACAGCCTTTCCCCAGCAGGTAGGACAGGCTAAAATGGGAAGGAACATGAAAGGGCTCCCACATACCTGCTCGGAAGCTCAGCTCATCAGCTTCCTGGCCAGCATAGTCATAAAGCGCGCGTACCCTCACCCCAGTGGCAGCCTTCCGGGGACTCTCCTCATCTGACCAGTCCTCGTCCTGCCCACTGCTAGAGAAACACAAGGGGACAACTCAGGGAACAAGACCGACTGTATCCAGTCCTCAAGGCAAAGGGCAGGCAGGTAGGAGGGAAACAGTCACACTGCTGCTGCGCACAACTGCAAATGCAGGTACAGTTCTGTGCACAGGGCTGCTACAGAGCCAGAGTACAAGGGGCTTGGGGACTGTGTGGCAAATCTAAACCCCTGTGAAATGGCCTTATTCATTCTCCCAAGATGGCCCTCAAGTACTCGTATGAAGGGAAAGAAGCAAGAGAGGGGAGCAAACAGGGGATAGAGCTGTTTCTTTGTTCTGACTAGGATCCCAGCTCTCACCCTGGGGATGATGGGGACTGGGGTGGGGGTGCGGTGCCATCTTTTGTGGGTACAATGCTGGTCAGAGTAACCTCATCGGGGCTCCGGCCACCCTTCTCCTTCCGGCTGATTGCTCTCTGTGTGTCTAAGGACCACTCCTGTGGAGAGATTTTGTTTAGAGTCTGGCAGGACTGTAGCTGTGGTAGCAATAGCTGCCTGGACCACCTTCACTTCATTTCAAACCTTCTCGTCCAATCTTGGGCCGCCACACTGAGCCCAACCCATCTCCGAGTCCCACCCAGCCTGTAACACCTGCCTCGAACTGTGGCCAGTTCATGGCCATGCCGGGCCCGTGCGTGCTACGCCACCAGCGCAAATCTTCTTCATCACTAGCAGCCTCAATGCCCTGCTGCAGGTCTCGGTGGAGTTCGTGGAACCTATGGGGCACTCAGTCAGACAAGGAAGACCCCAGCCCCTAGAACTTGAAATAATCCAGCCCAGCCAGAACCCAGGGGAGCTCAAGGGAAGCCTCCATGCAGAGCACCGGCCGTACTTGTCACTGCTGGACAGGTCGAGGTGTTGATGCAAGGTTAGCAACATATCCTTGAAGAAGAGAAGCCGCTGGCGCTCAGCAGCCTGGCAGCTCTCAAAGGCCTGCTCCATGTCCTCCATGTAGCGTGGGGTATAGCGGTTTAGCTCTGCCAAGGTCTGCTCATACTGGGTTTTCATCTAGGTGAGAGAGAAGGGAGGCCTTCCCCTCAGGACTGCACCAGTACTCACTGAGCACAGCCACAGGCTAGACCTGAAGCTAGCCACCAGGGGCAGACAGGCCTGGAACCCACTTCCTACCCTCAGGGACTGACAGAAGAAGCCTAACAAGGGAAGTGACATTCAGGCAAACACCTATAAGATTCTGGATGGAGCCCAAGACAGGGTCTTGTGATAAGGTAAAGACAAAAAGCAGGTTTCCTGGAGGAAGTGTTATAGAAATGACACAAGTCAGAGAGGATGGAATGCAAAAGGGAAGGGCCCTCGGGAAAGGGGCAGGGTATACAATATGAGAATTGATTTCGGGTAACTAAGTACTCCACTTCCTGAAACCCAACCATTCCTCTCCTGAGTAAAACAACACATTCACTCAGGTTTCTCTGTGCGTGTGTGTGTGTGTGTGTGTGTGTGTGTGTGTGTGTGTGTGTGAAAGAGAGAGAAAGAGAGGTCAAATCAACATAGGGTGCCTTCCTCAGTCCCTTACAGTCCTTAAACAAGCTGGCCATCGAGGTCCAGCGATCCACCTGTCCCATCTATTCCTGTCACACACATACACGCACGCTCACATGCACATTCTGTCCCCTCCTCTTTACCACTCCAGCTGCCTTGCCTCTCTCTTTACCAAGCACTTTACTGACTTAGCTGTCTCCCCAGGCCCAAGTTCCTCCTTCCTGTTTGTTGACACAGGGTCTCGCTACAGTAGCCTTGGTTGGCCTGGAACTCCATGTAGACCAGGCTAGCCTCTATGTAGACCAGGCTGGCACTGAATTTTCAGAAGTCCACCTGCCTCTGCCTCCTGAATGCTGGTATGAAAGAGTCCACCATAATGCCCAACGTAAGTTCCTGTTTTAAATAACCATCTCAAGGGGTGGCATTGGGGATTAGTGCAGGGAGAGCCTAGGGTCAGAAAAGGGACCCAGGAAGCTTTCCCAGGGGACGATACCTTCTCTGCCTCCTTGGTGCAGCGTCCCACCCGCTCCTGCAATTTTCGAAGCTGCTCCTGGGACATGGAGCTGTCTGCCTTCGCGTGGCTCTCCCGGGTCTGGGCTGTCTTCTCGTCTTTGCGGGCTGTATGGTAGCTCTTCTTGGAAGCCTCAACCTAATGTGCAAGCAGGAGAACAACCCTGAATCCTAGCCGCCACACCCTGGTCCCGTGCCCAACTGGAAGGCTCCTGCCTCCAGTGACCACTGCTCCCAGCCTCACCTCCTTCAGCCTCTTAAGCCAGGGCTTCTGGGCCTTACGGAAACCGTCCTCTGCAGCCCGACTCTCCCGAAAGCCACCCAGAACCGGCCGGTGGAAAGCTCCACGCTGCCAGGTCCGCACACGCTCGCTGTCTGGGCCATGCAACTTCTCCCTCACCTCCAAATGCAGCTCGCTCAGCCGCTCAGCCGCAGTGAAGAAGGCATGCCAGGCCTTCTCCAGGGTGCCGTACTGAGGGCCTGCAGAGGAATGAGCTTGGGCCAGGTGGGGTGCTATCTTAAATCCAACTTCCCCCTCTCCTCGAATCCTGCTCTGGGTGCCGGACAAAGGCACAGTAGGGGTAGGGGTGCAAAGCTGAAAAGCAGCAGCGTCAGGCACTGCATTAGGAAGGCCTGCTCTGTGCCCTGACAGCGACCTCATGAATTCTTGCCTCCACTACTACCATGGGGACAGTGCCATTGCCAACATGAAACAGGCAAAGACAAACAAACAATGACAACAACAGAAAACAAAAACCCTAAGCCTAGAAGAGTCAGGTTCACTTGTCCGAAGCATCATAGTTGTGAATGGAGCCCAGAGTACACCCACGCCTGCTGCACAAAGTCTGTGTGCCCAGGATCTTTCTACCCACCCCACCTGCATTCCACATTTAGCTTTTTCTAGCTAGGACTTCAGGCAAATGCCTCCCCTGATCTTCACTTCTGCTCCAGAAAATAGGTAGAGCAGTAGGAATATAGATCCCTCTTGCCATGCATTCTTGAGGTCTTACATTCCATGCCTAGCACCCACAAAAACTCAAGAAATAGAAGCTGTTCTGAGGGCCCCACCCTCACAACCTGTAGTCTTTGGTAGGCCTGCATACTGGCTCACCCTTCTCCACAGCACCCCTCCACTTGCGGGCCCAGTCAGCCAGCTGCTGGGCGTAGGCCTTCTCGATGCGGGCACGTTCTTGGAAGCAGCTAACCAGGTCTCCACACAGCCTGTGCCCATCCTCAACCCGCTGCACCGTCCGCCTGTAGTTGCCAGCCTGGGGAGAGATGGCTTCACCAGGGAGAAGCCCCCTCTCTGGCTGGGGCTGATAGCGAGGCTCCTCCCCTGGACAGGTGGCTGAGCCCAGAGAGGAGGGACAGTTTACTGCAACCCCAAACCCAGTCTCCAGCTGCTTACCTCCCAGAAACTGCCCCCTATGACCTCCCCTCCAGCGTCTTCCTCTGGAGCCATGGTGTCCCTGCAGCACGGAATGGTGGCAGGTGTGGTGCTGTGGAGGACAGGTAAGAGAGCAGGAAAGTGAGGCCTGCAGTTTGGGAACTGGGGAAAGGCCTTCTAATAGTCCAAAGCTTTTGTCCCTCTACCATCCCCACCACCCAAGGAACACTCAGAGGAAGGGCTGAGCAGCAAAGGGCTAGAAGTCCCCTGGAGGAGCCAGGATAGGGGCAAAAAAAATGGCAGCTGCACAGTTCCTTTCTGCCTCTAGGTCCACCCTTCTTAGCCCATCGTCTACATACCTGGGGTCTCCAGATCACTGCAAGGACCGTGTCCAAGTCTCCAAGCTGCCACTATCACGCTGCCTTGAAGTTAACAAGAGCACAGAAGGGGGTAAGGGTGGGAGCCTCCAGTGTCCAGGGCGGTGCCCAGCACCCCCAATATAGCAACTGCTGTCAGAAGTGCCAGATTCCAGGCGGAGAATGCCAGGCGGGTCACAGGACCCAGCAGGGGATTAGGTGACAGACAGGGATGGGTGGTGGGCCAAAAGCCCCACACTCCTGCTCTAGATGAGAAGAGGACTCCTGCCTAACTAGGCCCCTTGAATGACAAGGGGACCCCATGGACAAACCGGTCCAAGTGAGTGGGTACCCTGTCACAGCTTCAGCAACTATCTGCGCTGAGCAGAGTGGAAACAGAGCCAGGCCCGGGACCTAACATGACCAGGAAGCTTTTGGACAACTGTGTTTCATGGTCCTAAGGGAGCCTCAGCTCACTCCAAGGTGGAAATTCCCCCCACCTGGGCAGTGTCCATGCTACGGCTGAAGTAAAACTCAAGCTAGGCGATGACCCACAAACACTTGAAAGATCTGTCATTCATAAGGAGGCACTTTGCCTGTCCCCTACCACACCACACAACACCCAGGAAAGTCTCAAAGCGTCATGAGATAAAAATTCCATTCTGTCTTCAAAAAGCCCAGGGCGGGGCACCATGATCAGCCAGCAGGCCACACAGCCAGTTAGGAGAACTGTGGAAGAGGGCAAGGTGATTTTTCACCCCTTAACTCTCGCTCTCCCTCAAGGACTAGAGGACACAGTGACATGCAGCCTCCTGCCTCCAGGCAAGATCTCAGCTCCGACTGACTCTTACTTAGTCCATAGAAGGAAACTGCTTTCTTCTCTGAGATAGCCCAAGGCCTAAGGAACTGTGGGACCAAGAGGACGAGAGTATGAGGTTGCAGCAACCAAAGCACTCTGTCACCATGCCCTCTGTAAACTGGTAACCCTCTACTCACTCTCAACACTGGAAACTTCATCACACCCCCTTCCTCACAGTTCCCATATCCCTGTGACCCCAGTCCCACCACACATTCCACAGGCTGTGACTGGATCTGTCCAGAGCCATGGACGGACTTCTGCGGTTTCAATTCCCATTACCCCAGGCCCTAGAATCTGTAACAACTGAATCAGAAAACAAGAGACCGGAGGCGTAGCTCAGAGGAAGAACATGCTTGAGGCCAGAGGTTCCAACACCAGCACCAAAAACAGAATGATGTCCCCTCTGAAGACCAGAACATCTGCTGGCGACAGCAACCCTGAGAAAAGCCTGGCCTAAGCTGACTTGCTACCTCTGCTGGCAGGAGGGAGACCAGGCCTCTCCCTGGAGACCCCATTATCCTACAGGCAATGAAGATCCCTGGACACAGAGCAACTGCCCCTCCCCATTAGCTCTTCACCTTGTTTCCTCTTGAGTCAGCCCCGCTCGTCCAGAATGGCTTGTCAGGCACACAGGGGAAAGAAAGAGCAGTAGCCATAAATCACTGCGCCTTTGGAGCTGCCCCAGTGAGCCATCCAGGGCCTGGGGCCCCTGCCTACTCTAGCCTCCCTGCTCCCGGCTCCCAGGAGAGCTGCCCCCCACCCATTCCCGCTCCCTGGCCTCAGAACAGAGCAGGCTGTGTGTGTAGGGCTGGCACAGCTCCCTCAGGCCTCACAGAGCAAACAAGCTGGAGCCCCAGGCACAGCCAGGCCCGGCACCCCAGCTTCATCTAGCTAAGGGGGTGGACCTGGCACCTTGGTCCCGGCTGAGGAGGATTGGCGGCTGAGGAGGATTGGCGTCTTGTGCCTCCTGAAATTAGCAGAGACTCACATCTGAGTAAACACATCCTACCACAGCAAGAGCTCAGAGAGCAAGAACAGGTAGTTACAATCTTTCCAACCCGGACCCTCCACCTATCCAGTCAGAGGAGGCTTCTGGGACATTGGCAGGATCTTGTCTCAAACGCTAGTGCTGAGCTGGGAGTTCTGGGCTTCAGAAAAACAAACAAAACAACAAAAAAAACAGCCCCCGCTTTCCCCACCTGAGCTCCAAAAAGCTTCAGCTTCGCTCCTCTCTGACCCGTAAACTAGCCCCCACCCTTTTCCAGGAGCTGGGGACACAGGCCTGTGAGAAATCAAAGCCACCCTGCCCTGCCCAGTCCGGTGTCCTGAGTCACAGGCTGCGCCCAAGGGCTTCCCCAGCAGCCTTTCCCAGTCAGCCTGTAGACCTGGGATTTGAAGGCGCAGGAGGGGGTGGTTGCTGATCCAGAGAGGGGCATTTAAAATCAAGAGACTAGAGCAGCTTTTTGAGAGGCTGGGGGAGGGGGTGGCTCGGAGAAAGGGGGAGGAGGCAGGTCCAGGGAGGGGCATAACAAAGGGGCACTTTTGGAAACCCGACCTGCCAGCTGAGGTGCCTGCTTACTGGTGACGCACTCCTAACCTGGAGCCTCCACGCCAAATCTCGGTCTCTGGCCTCCACCCTCACAGACAGCGCCACTCGACAAACCACCTCCCGATCCCAGAAGGCTCGGCGTTGAACAGCTCAGCCGGTGGAGCCAGCCACACCGACGGGCACAGCCAGGCCTAGACACGGAGGCTCTAGGACTTCTTGGACAAACTTGTTGAACTTGGTCTCGGTGGAAAGGTGGGGCCAGCCGGTTACTGCGGAGGGGAAGGGGCGCTGCCTGGCAGAGCCAGCCATACAAATGGTGGCGCGACGGGGGTGGGGGTGGGTGGGAAGTGGAGGGATCCTGGCTTTTTACAGAGGCCCCCTTCTAGGACTTCAGGACAGACGCGAGAAGAGCAATTTGGGACCAGCTATGGGCCTCAAGAGATGGTTTGCTCCTCCAACCTGGACACCCATTACCCCCCGCTGGCCTGAAGAATCGCCTAACTATCGTAGGAGATGAGACGGCCTTGCGCTCGGTGGCAGCTAATGGCCGGGGTCTCCCGCGCGGGAGTCGGTCCCATTGCCAACTTCAGGACCCAGAGGACCAGAGAGCGAGCTAGAGCCACGGCACCGCCGCCGTGTCGCCCAGCATCCCCTCCAAGACACTCACCACGTCCTCTCAGGGGCCCTCGGTGGGTTGGGGGGGAATCTGGCCACGCTCAGTCCGGAGTTTTACCACTCCCGGGTCCGGGCCACCGCCTCCTGGAGCGCGCCGGGCCCTCCCCCGGGAAGCCCGGCCCCCGGGGCCCGCCCTCTCCGCGGTGCCACCGCCCCAACCCCACCGATAGCATCCCCGCGCCCGGTGGCTCCTGGGGTGCGAGCCATGAGATCTGCTCCTCCGTGCAGAGAGAGCGGAGCCAACAATGTAAGGTGGCGCCGTGAGGCTACCCGAGAGTTAGATTTGAGCTTTGCTGCTCTCCGACCTTTGCAGAGCCTGGGAAGCCGGTAGGAGAGAACCGAAACCTGCACCCTCATCATTTGAATGGGCTTCGGGGACAATGCTGCGTTACGGTCTTTGCTGAGAGCACCTTTCTTGGAAGTTAGCTCCGGGGGGCTCTCAACAACCCCCTCCCTGTAAACATTACGATTCACATTGACGTCAGAATATGGGGCTTTGAGACAACCTTCAGCGGTGTGCCCAGGATCTCTAACATGCCACTTCTAGTATGGCAGAAATGGGACTGTAAAGCCATGCCTACCCAGAGCCGCTCTGTTTCCTGCTCTGGTGCGCATTCCGCGACCCGAGATAAACACGCGATGAGAGGTGGGACAAAAAAAGCACGAACTCCTCCCCGCTCCGCGTTCACAGTCCCAGATTTTGTACCTATGCTCATCACCAAGTCCCTTGGTCTCACCTCCTTGTCCAATGTAGACTTTTTCCGAATCGTCACGATGCCACCCCACCCTAAATATATCCCTTCTTCACTGCCCCACCCCCAGCCTCTTGGGATTTCAGAGCCTGTGGGTCTGTTATTTATATCCACTGGAGCGGTCCCAAGAATGCTCCGAGGCTGGCCTAATCGCCACCTGCTTGGCTTCCCCGCCCCTCCAGTTCTCTCCTGAGCCTGGTGATCCAGCAGCGGGACTCCGCGCCGGAGGGACAGGAGGGAACAGCGGCCAGCAGGCTCCCAGGCCTCTGGTGCTCAGGGGTCCTGGAGCCAGGATTCTCACTGGGTTGAAGAGCCCAGGGGACCGCCCCCAAGGGGACCCCGCGCGCTCTGGGAAGCAACAGGCCTAGCTGTTCTCTTTCCAGCACGTACATTTCCAACCCAGCCCCCTCCACTCCCTTAGAAGTGTGAGTACATGCGCGCGGATTTTTAAAAGACAACTTTAAAAATAGCAAAATCGTGTTGTTTTTAAATCCGAAAGGAATCACTGGCGCGTTCTTTGCTCAGAAGAGTGCACTCACAAAATGGAAAGGGGCCTGCTGAGGATAACGATAACTTAGGAGTAACACCAGCTGCTGGGGGTTGACTTGGGAGGGTGAGTTGCCTGTGCTGTCACAAAGAGGCCCTGTCACCTTCCTTCAGCCTGAGAACTCTGGCCGCATGGAGGAGATTTGAAACCTGAGGATGCGGTTTCTGAAACTAATTTCAACACCCACTCTCTCTCTCCGGGCTTGGGCAAATCTTTTCCCCTTATCTGTTTCTGCTTCTATAAAATCTGACAGGTAACCGGCTGACCTCCCACTGGGCCATGTGCCCCAGCTAATTAATGATTGTAAAACAGCTGCAAGTGAGAGAGAGGGGCTTGGGAAATATCTAATCACATTATTTGGAATCAGTTAACATATCTCCGAGTGCCTGGGGGCGTTTAGGCACCTAGACAGTGTGAAAATACAAGAATGTAATTAATTACAGAAGCAGCCCATTAAAAGCTCATTAAAAATAAAGTTGGCAGCCGGGCTCTGGGATGTAAGGAAGTCAGGACAGGGAGGCTCAGGAAACAAGGTTGTTCATCAGACCACAGGGAGAAGTGGATGTTCGGTGGAAAACATCTGGCTTCCCTTGGGTTCAGATCTGGAATCGGAAAGCAGAAACATTGCAGCTGATCTTAATTGTCCTTAAGGCACTGGGAAGAGGCAAAGGACAGAACATTTAGGGCTGTAGGGTGAAAGGAAACGTGGTCAGAAACCCAACTTCCAGCTACTACCACGGGGGGGGGGGGGGCTCAGATTTCTATGCCCTATGAACAGACCCCTTAATTACACAGTGCTTCATCAGTGTCATCCCCCAGCCTGAAGAGTTCAAGATGAGATGTTGAAGCCAGACACCCAGTGAGAAGCAACTTGGCTCAGAGCAGCAGGTGGCAGGTTGATCCACAGCCAACTTTGAGAACATTAAGACTCCCTTGAGTTTCTGGAATGTCCCACCCACTGTGCCTTCATTTGTTTATTTGTTTACTCAGCCAAGAAAACATTCAGATTTTTTCTTTATGCTAAACTCTGTGCTAGACTTGGGGACTATATAGAGAAATAAGGCTGAGCCCTACATTTACAACATTGATATTGACGTGGATATACAGTCCCATTAGTAAACTGAGGCAGGAAGGACCACCTTCTACAAAGGCGTGACACTTGGTTGAGCTCCATGAGTAGGAATTAGTCATGTAGAGAGGCATTCTAGGCTGGAGCAATAGGGTGTGCCAAGCCCCAGTGGTGTTAGCGTACAATTCTGTGACCTCGAAATTCTACTTCTTGGTGTCAACCACAGACAAATGTGTACAAACACAGACAGAAGCGCCAGGATGCTTGCATTCAGTACTACTCAAAATCCAAGAAAATGAGACGCAAATGTCCACCAGGAGGGACACTGCTGCATGACTAAAGCTATGAGTTACTCTACAAATCCAGAAGAGCTGGGCAGTGGTGGCACACACCTTTAATCCGGGCACTTGGGAGGCAGAAGCAGGTGGATATCTGTGAGTTTGAGGCCAGCCTGGTCTACAAAGCGAGTTCAGGACAGCCAGGGACACAGAGACACTCTCTCTCAAAAAACAAAAACAAAAACAGAACAAAACAAAACAAAGGAAATATATCTTTTAATTAAACATTCTCCCTGAAGTGCTGGAGGTCAAGCTCAGAGCCTGTTTGAGCTATGCAAATGCTCTGCTCCTAAATTCCACCTCAGCCTGAGATATATACATACTCTCACATGAAGACCTGCAAGATACTGGTAAGCGGAAAGGAAAGTGAAGAACACTAATTGGAGAGGAAATACACCAGGCTGAGTTTGGAAGCTCTCTCTGGGAAAGGACTCTCAAACTAGCTGTGAGAGGATTTACCATGAGAGGCTGGGGTGTAGCTCAGTGGTAGAAAGTGAGGTGCGCGCCTGTAATCCCAGCACTCTGGGAGGCAGAAGCAGTCGGGTCTCTGTGAGTTCAAGGCCAGCCTGGTCTACAAAGTGAGTCCAGGACAGCCAAGACTACACAGAGAAACCCTGTCTTGAAAACAACAACAACAAGAAAAATAATGTGCCACCAATGCCCAGGAAATTCTGTGCAATAGTAGAAAGGTCCTACAGTGCCGTCCAACTGGTAGCCAGCAGCCACATACGACTTCTGAGCGCTTGAGTCATGGCTAGTGTATCCAAAGAATCAAATTTTATTGTTTTCTTTAGATGGGGGTGGATTTCCCTACATTACCAAGGCCATTCTTAAACTTCTGGATCAATCAGTTCTCCTGCCTTAGCTGTTTTCTCTTCTCAGGGATGGAACCCAGGGCTTTACATATTCTAAACATACACCCATGAGTTATTTCTCAGCTCAGATTTAGCCTTCCCAAATCTAACTCTGGAGGGATTTCCCCTGTGGAGGGTGAAGCATAGCACAGGGAACTGCAAGCATGGCTGGGCTCCTCTGAAGGCTGCCCTGTTTCCCTCAGCCTCTAGACATTGCTGCAACACTTCTGAAAGGCGGCTGAGTTAACTGCTATGTCTTCAAGGTGGAAAAACTGGTCAGGGTTACCGGAGTGAGGGGTTACCCTCATTAGGTGAGGCTGATTCACAGGAAGAACAGCAGAGGAGGGGCACCAGAGAGGAAATGCAAAGCAAGTTGCTGAACACAAATGGTCCTCCAAGCGCAGGAATTTGTTCAGGGCAGGACCTTTGGGAACTACCACAAAGGTGCCAGGGACTGCCTTAGCATCTTCAGCCTCCAGCTCTGTAGCTGAGGGAGGCTTCCACAGAGAAAGTCTGCCGTGGTGGCTGAGGGATGAGAGTAGATGGTCCTTTCATTGAACACATGTTCTGGGGACACCCCCAGCGTGCCAGATACGTTCTCAGTGCTCAGCCTTCAACTCGAAGAAAGCAGACAAGATCCCCAGCTTCCTGAAAATCTCCAGTGAAATCAAATCATATATGATTTCCGGTCGGGGTAGACATTTTAAATGGGTGAGGAGGAGAGAGTGCAGCGCTGGGCGTGTAGCTCATGGTGGTAGCACACACGAGCAATGCCTAGGGCTGAAAAGGGGGGGGGTTGTGTGTTAAGAATAGATGGAACATAATTTCCATTAGGAAAGTGTGAGAAAAGAGCCTAGACGCTTCCCCAAGGACCAAATGCCAAATCACAGGCTGGTGAAGAGGACAGTGCCCAGGAGCACTCCAGGGAAAGGACTGGTGACTGATGAGAGCATAGACCCTAAATGGGACTTGATCCTCTGGAAAGAAAGTAGAATGTGCAGGGTTTGTTAACAGCCAGGCATGGCGGGTTTCTTCCTAGGCTTGGGAGCAGCATAGGGGAGGAGCGGCTGACTGGTCTTGGATGCTGGACAAAGACAGAACTAAGGAATCAGCAAACAATGGCTGGTATGGCCCACAGGACAAAGAATGTGTAGCCTTCACAGTCCTGGAACTCACTCTGGCCTCGAACTCAGAAAACTACCTGCCTCTGCCTCCCAAGTGCTTGGATTAAAGGCATACACCCACCACGGCCAGGCTCTTAACATTTTTTTTAGATGACTGGAAAATATAACTCAAAAATATTCCACATGAAAATAAAATTTTAGTGCTCAAAAATAAAGTGAGCCTTGCTCACTTATATGCGAAATGTCTCTTGTCATTTTCACACTACATTGGCCAAGATGGGTCAGAGATAATGTGGTCCTCAAAGCCTACAATATTTTCTACTTGGCTCCTTTCACATAAAATTAGGTGACCTGTGCATTAGAGAGAAATTAGAAGTAGAAAGCCCAAAAAGGAGATTGCAACAGACACCAGGCTGAGATAATAGTGGAGCGACGAAGTGTGGTTGGACTGAAGAAGAAACTTAAGGAAAGAACCTCCAGAACTTGCTAATGGCACTTGAGAGACTGAGGCAGGGGACCATCTTGAGGCCAGCATAGGTTATACAGAGTGAGACCCTGTCACACAAAAAAATAAGTGAACAAAAAAAGCTAGGAGTGGTAGCTCATGTCTGCACCCCCAAAACTTTGGAGGCAGAAGCAGGAGCCTTTGCATAAAAGTTTGAGGCTAGCTTATTCTACATAGTAACAAGAGCCTATCTGATTGTGACAGGGGGCAAAAGAGAGAGGGAGGGGAGCAGAGAGATGAGTGAAAGAGAAGGAGGGAAAAAAGAATTGAGGATGAATTGAAGTGATAAGATACACTTTAAAATGACCCAGACTTTGTGATCCTAGAACAGGACCTTAGCAACACTTGGCAATGCGTAGCTTAGCTAATAGTGCTTTAGTGTTAGTTTCTGAATTCTTGACCGCATAGCAATTTTGAAGCCAGTTTGGGCTACAATGAGATCCTCCTTCAAAAATATAACCACAAGCCAGGCATGAAACTGTGTGTTAGAATTTCAGGCAGGGACCACCACTCTTGGCTTTCAATGTCTCATTTTAAAATCCTTAATTACATCTGCAAAACCTTTTTCCCAGATAAATTATGAATAATGTGTATACATATCTTTCCAGAAACTAATCAGTTAAACCACTGCACAGGGCTTGCTAGAAAGCCAAGACTGTTAGCTTTGGAAAGCTCATCAAAATCTTCTTGAGCTTTAAAGATAGACAGCTTTCACAAGTTTTCTTCACGAAGTTTCGTAAGTGTGCCTCTTTCCATAATGGAACAGCAACCCCTCATGCTGCCAACTCAGAGGTAGCTTGCTCATCCAGACTGCCTATAATCATAATAAGACTTTTCAGTTCCGAGCTTGTATGAAATAGGCATAGTTACGAATGAAGGGAAATAAAGGAACAATAAATGTGTTTGTGAGCCAGATGGGTGATGAATGTCTGTAATCCCAGAAGTTGATAGGTAGAGGATCAAGAATTCAAGCTTAGGCTTGGCTACATAACGAGTCCAAAGCCTACCTTGGCCACATAAGACCCT